AGAGAAAATCAAAGTCTTTCTCAAGATTTACTGCATTTGCTCAGTGGTGTTCCCACCTCTTGTATTTTCTTTCATTTTCATTTTCTACAGCTATTCTAAGTACATCTCTGAATGGAATTTCCTTCATTTATAGACATGAGCAGACTGCATGCCACTGGCTGGGACAAGGCAGGGAAAAACTGGTTTTCTCACCTTTCCTTCCTCTCCCCAGTACATTTTATTCACTTTCTCATCCTTGTTTTCCTCCTGACTCCTGCAGGGCTGCTGGGCTATTAAAATGCCTCATTCTTCACTACACCTCACCCTCTCATGTAATTCCTACCTAGGGTTGCCCGATGTAGCAAACAGGATGCCTATTAAGTATGAATCTCAGGGAGATAAAAGTCCCTGCAATAATTGGGACATATTTGTATTAAAATACAAAATTTAATTTACCTGACATTCAGATCTAACTGGGATGCCTTTATTTTATCAGGCAACAATATTTCTCACCCTGTGGGCAGCTGCTGCCTGGTCCTCTTACTGAAAACTGTTTGCCTAAGTAGCAGCCCTGAAAGAATACCCACCTCTTAACCCAGCATTTCCTCACAGTGTCTGTGTGCCTTTACTCCCAGCTGTTCCTATGAGGGCTCCGTTAGATGTTTCTCACTCTAGGAATTCTGAATTGCTAAGGAACGGGCAAACCACCAGATCTGACTCCCTTTAGCTTGGCCCTCAAGTACCCAAAATAAAATAATTTTGACTTTGAGCAAATGAAGATAAGACTCACCAGCATGGACCGAAATCCACTGCCTATGTAGCACATCTTTCCTTTCCATTCCTGCTTTAGAATGAAGTTATCATGGAAATAGAAATCTAACGTGAACATTTAGGATACATTTATAGTACCTTATTGATTTATAGTACCTTAGTTCTTTTAAAAGTGAGAGATCTGCTAGAGAACCAAGAGGCAGTAATTATATTTAAGTGCAAACCTGAAGAGAAAAATTAATTGAATGTGGAGAACGAGGCACCTGAGGTGAGGTAGTCCCAGTGAGTCCTGAGAGAGTGAACTCAGGCTACTTCTTTGAGATTTTCTCTTTATTGAGTCTGAGAAGAGCAGGAGGAAAAGACAGTATGAATTCAGGAGCATGCCAGAAGGCAGCACCAGCACTTCAGAAATCTTTCTCAGTGGCACAATCAATGCCCTTTCAAAGCATTCATTCATTACTTGTGCTTTTTAGACTAGCACAGTGTTTAAAAATATTCCTTCCTGCCACTGGTTTGGTCCTTGCTTGACAGGTAGCTTTGCTTTCACTCAGGTGATCAGAATACAAAAGGGTGGCCTAAGTGGCACCAGCTGCCCTGTTTAGACTTCCTACCTCCCAAGGGTCCTGTCAGTGTGATTTACAGTAAGCAGCCCTGAATCCCCCTCCTCTTGGACAAAGGACAGATGCACCTCAATTTACCTTAAGTAGAATTTATGGTTTTGCTTTTGAATGGTAAAATAAAATAAATAATTTATGGTAAAAAAAAAATTTTCCTATGTCTTGCCAGTGAGTTTCAGCCCTGGGCAAGTTCACTCTTGATTCAATGAGACCGAATGATGACAACATAATGTTCTTGTGGTGAAAGGGTTTATACCCAACTTTATTCCCTTGGTAGGAGTAAATAGAGTAAATAGCAATGTATTGCCCAACCATGTGTAGTAAGCAAGCTGACCAGGGTCAGGTGAGACTCCTGGCCATAGAACTTTCAATTTCTTTACAGCCTACCACAATTTTCTACACTGATGAGATGTTCTAGAAATGTGGGTCCTTGAAAAGGTACTTCATTGTTCCCTTGCTTTCATTCCTCCTCCGTTCTTTTACAAGGCTAACAACATTTCTAAATCTAAATACCAGATACCCTACCTTTCAATTTGAGGTTTTTCTTTTTAACAATTTGTATTTTTTAAAATTAAGATATCATTGATATGCAATCTTATGCTCAGGTTTCACATGAACAACATTGTGGTTACTACCTTCCCCCCTTATTATCAAGTCCCCACCACATACCCCATAACAGTCACTGTCCATCAGCATATTAGGATGTTATAGAGTCACTACTTGTCTTCTCTGTGCTATAGTGCCTTCTCCATGCCCCCCCTATCTTATGTGTGCTTATCATAATGCCCCTTATCCCTCCCTTCCCCCCCATACTCCCTTCCCCACCCCAAGTCCCTTCCCTTTGGTAACTGCTAGTCCATTCTTGGGTTCTGTGATTCTACTGCTGTTCTGTTCCTTCGGTTTTGCATTGTTCTTATGCTCCACAGATGAGTGAAATCATTTGGTACTTGCCTTTCTCCACCTGGCTTATTTCACTGAGCATAATACCCTCTAGCTCCATCCATGTTGTTGCAAATGGTAGGATTTGTTTTCTTCTTATGGCTGAATAATATTTCATTGTGTAAATGTACCACATCTTTATCCATTCGTCTACTGATGGACACTTAGGTTGCTTCCATGTCTTGGCTATTATAAATAGTGCTGTGATAAACATTGGGGTGCATATGTCTTTTTGAATCTGGGATCTTGTTTTCTTCAGGTAAATTCCTAGAAGTGGAATTCCCAGGTCAAATGGTATGTTTATTTTTAGTTTTTTGAGGAACCTCCATATTGTTTTCCACAATGGTTGAACTAATTTACATTCCCACCAGCAGTGGAAGGTTACCCTTTCCCCACATCCTCACCAGCATTTGTTGTTTGTCTTTTGGATGTTGGCCATCCTAACTGGTGTGAGGTGGTATCCATTGTGGTTTTAATTTGCATTTCTCTGATGATTAGCAATGTGGAGCATCTTTTCATGTGCCTGTTGGCCACTAAATTTCTTCTTTGGAGAAGTGTCTGTTCATACCCTCTGCCCATTTTTTAATCGGGTTATTTGCTTTTTGGGTGTTGAGGCATGTGAGCTGTTTATATATTTTGGATGTTAACCCTTGTCAGTTATGTCATTTATGAATATATTCACCCATACTGTAGGATGCCTTTTTGTTCTGATGATGGTGTCCTTTGCTGTACAGAAGGCTTTTGGTTTGATGTAGTCCCAACTTGTTCATTTTAGCTTTTGTTTCCCTTACCCGAGGAGAAATGTTCATGAAAAAGTCAGTTTGAGTTTTTATGAACTCCAGCCTAAATCACAGTGCACAGTAGAAGGAAGAACATCTGGCTGGGAAGCAGAGGAGATAGGGTATGGTTGAAGGGTCTCCACTAACAAGCTGTGAGGGTCCAGAGAAGCTATCTCGTTTTTGTGGGTCTGTTCCTCTTCTAAAAGCTGCTACTGTTGACTTTATGTTCGCAAGGTTTGCCTCTTATTCTGAAGTTCTAGGATTCCTTTAGTATCCTCCCCCATCTCCATGTGCTCCTTTGAATTCGCAGAAGGCATTTAGATAAGCTTATTTAACAATTTTTTTTTTCTGGGATAGTTCCTTAAAAAGAAAGTTAAGCTTACTTTAGTGTATGAGATTTAGAAAATAAGGAGATTGGATTTGAGAGCTCTCTGAATCTTGAGCCTCTTTTGGTGTTCTCAATTTATCACACTTCCCTAGAGGGCTCTTTTGTCTAGGCATGCAACAGTGTGGAATCCAGTAAATGGATAAGGAGATGAAACTCTGTGCATAATACACATCCTACTTATATTAATGTGTATAGTTTCATGTAAATGAGGTAATTGTTTATTTCATGTAAATAACTTAAAACACTGACTTACTTTTTTCAGGCACTTTGTTGTAAATGCATCAATTATAAGTTTTTAGTGTGATACTTTCTTTTATAATGTTCATTCAAGAAGTATTTATTGATAGGTGTTATAGGTAATATGATACATTTTTAGTATATACATACACCTACCTTAGCATCACTCAAATAAATATATAGTTTACCTATGAATAATGCAGGGGTTAGGGGTGCAGATCGCCCTGTACAGGTGCGAATCCATGTATAATTTTTGACTCACCCCAGATTTAACTACTAATAGCTTATTGTTGACTGGAAGCCTTCTGATAACATAAATGGCCGATTAACACATATTCTGTAAGTTTTATGTATTATACACTGTCTTCTTACAATAAAGCACAAGAGAAGAGAGTTTTTCAAATTGTTGCAAATCTCCAAAAAATTTTTCAATACATCTGTTGAGAAAAAAAATACCTGTGCAGTTCAAGCCTGTGTTGTTCAAGGGTCAACTGTACAGAAATTCCCATCACTTCAGAGAAAGTTCTTTAGTACCCTTTTCCTCAGGCAAATACTATTCTGATTTTTATCACCATAGATTATTTTGGCCTGTTCTTGAATATTAAATTATACAGTGTATGAATAAGGACAGAACTGTCAAGTAGTACAGACATGAATATTTTCAGCTAAAATCAAGGTAAGGTCCAGTGAGGAGTAAACTGGCTAGTAAGTGAGTAAAATGGAGAGCCAACTACTAAAAGTCACTTTGTTAAGCTAACTCAAACTTAATTAAATGAAAATGAAATCTGTAGTTTGGAAAACCCTCATACTGAGTGATGGCATTAACAGTGTTCACAAAATATTGAACCAATTTGGAAAAGGCATTAGAGAATGAAGAAGAAATGTTCATAGTCTCAAGAGAAGGAACTGCCCCCTTTCCTCCAACCCAAATCATTGGGTGGTAAGTAGAAGTTGCTAACAAGCTTTTGTTATCTTGGCCAGTTTATCACAGAGGACCCTAAGTGATTCAGTGTAGGTAGGAGATAGCATGTAGAGGATGAGATGATTTCAGAAATGGGAGAGGGGGTTTAGAAACAACATGAGTGGCCCAGGTCCAGATGGACTAGTTCTGTTATTGGTGGGCTTGGAAGGTAAGGTCAGGAGTAGCAGAATGGATACCAGAAGTACCTGTCACCCAAGTGGAATAGGCAGCCCAAGAGGAGAAACATAGGCTCCACTCTGCCCCAAATTCCCAAACTCTGGTAAGCCTCTGAAAACAAACGTTAGAAAGAATACAACTGGTTATGAAAAGATAGTATATCTCTTTTAATTAAAAAAAAATCAATGTGTTGCCATATAAACCAATTGGACCAAACAGGACAGAAGCAATGCTCTGATGCCAACCAGGAGGGTACCCACACAGATTTAGCATGGCGGTGAGTCTTTATGTCTTTCGGTGAAGGCAAAGCCATTTGGTTGGCACTTCATAGGAGTATCTTTCCACTGTGTCTTCATCATACGGTATGTGCCACGAGTCTCCAGTTGTTTGCACCACTGTATCATAGCTGAGTATATACTGTAGAATTAAAAAGGGAACCAAACACTGAGAACAACACTGAAGGGTTAGCTAGTCATTTCCTTTTCTTTTCTGACAAGTTCTCAGTCTGCCTCAGGGATACTCTCCGTCTTTCTTAACAATGGATTTTCAAACAGCAGTCAGCTCAGTGAAGATGAACCCTAGTATTAGCAGTTCCTTTGTGGGGGGGGGGTTCCTTTTTAAGGTTAAAGACGCTCTGCAGGAACATCACATTTATAGGATACGATATTCCTTTGTTGCCTTTATTGGTTTTGTATGTGAGAGAAAAAATTCAAACATACAAAAGCAGAGAAATAGTGTAATGAACTCCTAAATACCCATCATTCAGCTGCAACCACTATTAACTACTGGCTAATCTTATTTTGTCCACACACCACCCACTTTCTCAGTGCCTCCAACTCCCAAGATTACTTTCAAGAAAATCTCAGATATTATGTCATTTCTTCTGCAATATTCAGTATGTGTCTCTAAAAGATGAGGACCTGTTTTGTAAATATAAAACAATAAATTTAAGAATTAATGATTTCTTAACATAATCAAATATCTACTGTTTACATGTCCCCAGTCATTATATGTGTGTCCATATGATGTACACTTGATTTATTTGCATAAGAATTGGAATAAGGTTATTACATTTTGGCTAAAAGATTAATTCTCTTTTAATCTAGAGCTTCCCTTTCCATCTCTACTTTTCTTGCAATTTTTTGTTGTTGAGGAAGCCAGGTCAATTGTCCTGTACTATTTCCTACAGTCTTCATTTTGCTGATTGAGCTGGAGTATCATTTGATACCATATATCCTATAAATGTTTGTTTTGTATGTTCTTTGACTGTGGACCATATTTACCATTGGCTGATTAATTTTTCTGGAATAACTCGCTTTTGGATTTTTCCCTATGCTATCACACAAGAGGCCTCCTTGTATTTACAGGAATCTAAACTAGAATCAGAGGACAAATGAACTGAGACTGGGCCATAGGAGTGGATTAACCAGAAAAAAGGACTTACTTAACAGAAGTAGAAATACAACAAACCATAAGGGACAAGGAATTCTGAGCTACTGCAAATAAATAGGAAAATAAAAACCATGGATGAGGAGTTGTAATTGATGACATGATTGCAGTCACAAGTGATAACATCTTAATGTGTTTTCAACATGTCAATTGATGTGAGGCTGGCCCACAAAAACTCCTCTGGTAGACTTTGTTTCCAGGAACTGGCTAATTTCAAATACCAAATGAAAATTGAGAATAAAACATTTAGAACCTTCAACTAGTTACATTCTTTGACTATGCCACATTCTTACTACATACTTGACTCTGTTGACATTTTATAGAGAATGGATAACATACCTGAAAGGTTATTTTTGATCCTGGAAGCCTATTAATAATTGCCAGCTGATGTCCCTGCTGCCACTTAAAGAAGAGGTGCTGGGTCTTGGCATCAGATAGACAGGCCTTGTGGTCCCGCAACAGATCTTTTGTGATAAACTTGCAGTGGTTGCCCGAGTGCAGTGTGGCATACAGAAGGAACGGATCATCCTCTGAGCTGAGCCAGGCATAAGAAAAGACACAATCAAGCACCCCCCAAGGAGGCAGAGGATAGCTTTTGTTGCCATGCTTTCCCTTTTTTTTTTTTCTTTACCATGCTTTCCCTTTTTATTCCACTTTCCTCAGAGGTACTCTGTATTCTTAACTGTCATGATAAATCTCAGCAATTCTTATGAACAACCTGCAAGTGCTTAGCTGATAGACAACACTATCTACAGCACAGACGGAAAGCTTAGGGGAAGGGAATGCTAATGCTTGGCACTCTCATCTCAACTGGGCCCTTCCACTAGAAAGAGGAATCTAACAACAATTCTTTCTTCACACTCACAAGCTGGTTCTCTGTTCCCAGGGCGTTTTTCCTCATCTACCACAGAGCACACCTTCTCCCTGTCCTCACTCAAATTCAAAATCCACAATACTAATAATTCAGGATAACACTTTCTTGCAAGCCATGAAAAATAACAGGCTGTCCTCAGAGCTGAAACTGTTATCTCAAAGCAGCTTCTGGACAGTCACCCAGAGCAGCACCCAAAGGCATCTCCTGTTTTAAGAACCAGTGATTCAGTGTCTCCAGTGGACCTCAACAGCAGCACTTAGCATGATAGCACATGTGCTATAAAAATGGCAGTAGCTACTTTGGTTTAGGGTGTTGGGACTGCAACTTGTGATATGCCTTATGCCTTGATCCCGATGACCCAAAGTAAGACCATTTGAGGTTTACCTTATACTGAAGTACTTCAACTGAAATGAAATGACTGGAATCTGCCTTTAAAAATCTCCCAGAGAGAGGAGAAGAAAAAAAGTATGGGTGTTCATATGGAACAAGATTAGCAAAATTATGGTAATTGTTGGAGCTAGGAGATAGTTATGTGGGGATTCGCTATACTTTTCTCTCTAGCATAAGTCTGAAAAGGCTTCTTTGACATAATAGTGGAAAATAGACTTAATGTTAAAAACCTAAAATATTTAAATCTAAAGCCATAGAAGGTCATTGAATCAATCTTTACGACTGGGTTTGGAATTTCAGCAGATGCAATAAATACAGGCCCCAAACCAAGCATGCATTTATCCAATTCTTCAACCTAAGAAAAATAAAAAAAGGATGATGACAGCAACTAATACCTAATATATATGTTTTCCATGAACTTGATGCCATGCCAAGAGTTTTACACATTATTTACAAGCATTATCTCATTTAACCTTCACAACAACCCCATGAGGTTCACATACAAAAAAAAAAAAAAAAAAGAAGACACGGAAAGGACAGAGAAGGGAAACACCTTCCCAGATAGGATGGCAGGGCCATGTTCTATGCCTGGGTAGACTAATTCCCAAGCCTGTGCTCCTAATGTCTACCCAATGATGCCTAAAGTGATTGTGTGAAGACCATCATTACTGTCTTCTATTCTTAGAGACAAGGAAGCACCCCCTCCTATGAATAAATAAAAGGACTTAGCTAAAGAAAAAGGGATTTGTTTTGATATCTGAATGAGGGGAATTTTATTATTTTATTTGAAATGTCACTACATTGTAATATACAATATAAATCATGTTAATTAATTAATTAATTAATTTTATTAAGGTATCATTGATATACACTCTAATGAAGGTTTCACAAGAAAAACATGTAGTTATTATATTCACCTTTATTATCGAGTCCCCCCCAATACTCCATTGCAGTCACTGTCCATCAGTGCAGTAAGATGCCACAGAGTCACTGTCTTCTCTGTACTACACTGTCTTCCCTGTGACCCCACATACACCATGTGCCCCAATCATGATACCTCACAATCCCCTTCTCCCTCCCTCCCTCCCTCCGGCTCTCCCCCACCCCTCCCCTTTGGTAACCACTAGTCCCTTCTTGGACTCTGTGAGTTGGCTGTTATTTTGTTCCTTCAGTTTTGCATCATTGTTATACTCTACAAATGAGGGAAATCATTTTGTATTTGTCTTTCTCTGCCTGACTTATTTCACTGACCATAACACCCTCTAGCTCTATCCATGTTGTTGCAAATGGTAGGATTTGTTTTCTTCTTATCGCTGCATAATATTCCATTGTGTATATGTACCACATCTTATCCATTCATCTACTGACAGATGGACACTTAGGTTGCTTCCGTATTTTGGCTATTGTAAATAGAGCTGCAAAAAACATAGCGGTGCATATGTCTTTTTGAATCTAAAATCTTGCTTTCTTTGGGTAAATTCCTAGGAGTGGAATTCCTGGGTCAAATGTATGTCTATTTTTAGTTTTTTGAGGAACCTCCATACTGCTTTCCACAATGGTTGAACTAGCTTACATTCTCACCAGCAGTGTAGGAGGGTTCCCCTTTCTCCGCATCCTCACCAGCATTTGTTGTTCCTAGTCTTTTCTATATTGGCCATCTAACTGCTGTGAGGTGATATCTCACTGTGGTTTTAATTTGCATTTCCCTGATAATTAGTGATGTGGAGCATCTTTTCATGTGTCTGTTGGCCATCTGAATTTCTTCTTTGGAGAATTGTCTGTTCATATCCTCCGCCCATTTTTTAATAGGGTTATTTGCTTTTTGGGTGTTGAGGTGTGTGAGTTCTTTATATACTTTGGATGTTTGTTAATTTAATTTTAATGTGATTATTTATCAATAATGTCTATTGTAAGTCCCAAGAGGGCAGGGACTTGGTCTTGTTCACTGCTGTATCTTCCAGAACACAGCAAGTGCTCATATTTATAAAATACTTGTTAAATGATCTATTTAGGACCTTATGGTATTCATTCTGTACACTAATCTCACTTCTGAGTTTATCTTCCTCTCATTTCTCCTTTATCCTGATTTCCTCATCTATTTAAATGTATCCTGCTGTAGAATTTTTGTAAGCTGTCTCAAATCTTTCTTTTGGAATGAAACTGAGTATACATACATACATATACACACATGCACTTCAAAAATGGCAAAAACAGGTAACTAACAAGCAGATAACTGTAGCCTAGTGTGATTCACCTATTACCTCTAGTACTTACATGTCATCAGCAAAGAAACAGCTGGCTTGCTTTTGCACCTTTTCCATCTCAACCCTTTTCCACCGGGAAGTCTGCCTTAGCATGTGCTTCCGGCCCAGGACCAGCAGTCGCAGATTCTCCTTGGCTAGTTGAGAGACCACATCCAATAGCTAAAAAACACAAAACCAGTCCCCAGGAGGGTCAAGGAAAAAATCTCAAGTAAGCAGTGTGATCCTTCCAAGTGGTCACCTCATGGCTGAAATATTCTTTTCTGGTAAGGGGTGAGAAAACATCCCTTAAAATAATTTTCCATCTTTGGAAGCCTCAGGAAATGCTTCCTTATTACAAACTAATGTATATACATACCTGCCCACTGGTCAGGCTTTATTAGATACAGGAATGTTTTCTAAGCCTAGACTAGATGATTTGTTTTTTAAACTGTGTTCCCTAGAGTCCACTAGGGGGTACAGAGAGGCTCAAGGGGGTGGGGGTTTTGTTCCTATACACTCCAACTATTTTAACCAAAACAGCTCAGCATTTGTATATTTATATATTGGTATTCTGCATACGTTTTCACTTGAATAAAGGGCTCTACTCCTTATTTTAAACGTTTGTAAATGGTTGGACTAGTGACTTTTCAGCCAGCTTTTCTATGTCATGATACTGCCGAGACTGCTACCTTTCACTGATACCCCTTTTTCCATTCAAAGATCAGTCATCTTCCATTCTGTAGCCTAGTTTCTAGTCAGTGAATTTACCACATTCTCTCCACTTCCTACCTGTCCTGAGTTCACATGAATTCCTCTCAAAAGGAATTTTGGATTTTTAACTTATCTAGTACATTGGTGAGCTTGCCTGCATTCAATTGTTCATAAAAGAGTTCATAGATTACTTTCATGTACAACCTATTAAACTAAGGTATCAATGGATATTATTAAGGAAAATAAAAGCTAATGAAAAATGATAATTTGTTATGTAATAGTGTATCTGAAATATGAACGTTTTTTAACTAAGAACTGATGGACCTACAAAAAAACAAGTTGAAAGTGACTGAAGTAATCATTAATGTTCTTGGGCTTAGGCTGGAAAGGCTCTGATTTTAGTCTAGCTCCCCCTTACTAATAATTTCTTCCCATGTAGATTTTCAGGATATTATTTAGAATTTCATTCATTTAATCAATAAAATTTCATTCATTATTTGGTCAGCTATCAAATACTGCTTTTGCACTCATTATGTCTAATACACATGTAGACTCTGACAATCTAATGATGAATTAGCACAAACTGAATTTTTAATATTATTATCTAATGCTTTGGATTTATGTTGGTGTTTTGTCCATTCCACTCCATTACTAATCCTATTATTTTAGAGAATAATAGTTGGCTTTATTATCCCTAATTAAGACACAGAATGGACACAACTTTCCCACTGAATGTGAGCTAATACTCAAGCAGAAGAGTATACTAAGACCAGTGTGAAGACTCTAAACCCAGAGCTTTACAACCAGTAAAATATAATTCTTTCCTTCAAAGCTAGGAGTAATGGCTTCTGTGTTAACACTTATTTCCCAGGCTTTTCTATGTATAATGCACATGGCGGGTTAAAAGACATCGTCCTTGCTTTAAATGCCTAATAATTTTCTCACCCTACTGTCAAGGCTAGGAAAAGATATTTGCTGGCTATACATATGTAGATATATTAGATGGTTAATAAACATTTTATGATTGGCTGAAGAATATACCCAACATTTATTTTTATCTGTCATAAAACTCATTATTGAAAACTCAAAAAATACAGGCCAGAATAAATATGAAAGAAAAAACTACTCACATCTTACTTCCCAAAGATTGTTACCATATATTTACCAGTTTTTTTATTCTATGCATTTTTATATAATCTTATAAACTATTACTTTAAACATTAGGCTAGTAACCAAAAGCAAACATGTATACTATAAGGAAGTCTGTTTCATGGATCCAAACACCTCAACAGACACCCTCCTTTGGAATGCACTTACAACATTCCTTTCTTAAAGCTATGTTGAGATTACAGATTATTTTCAATGAGCCCCATTACAAAATGGCAAATGGATTCATTAAGAAGAATGACAATTACTTTTTTAAATGTCTATATGAATTCCCACAAAGTTATAGTAAAGATACCAAAAAAAAAAAAATTCAGCCAAAATCAACTGAAACTTGATTGCTTAAGTTTCCATGCCACTGGGAAAACAGGCTTAAAGAAAAACATAATTGGGTCTTCACAGCTATACCTTGTTTTAGATAAATGGCCTGAGCTTACTAATATTAAGACAGGGACCCAAAGAAGAGCAGAAAACGTTTAGCCCGGACTACTCCAGGGCACTATCTTGTGGCTTAGAGGTCTCTACTAGCAGCAGCTCTCTGAGAACAATGCAACAAAAGAGAATAAAGGAAAGACAGATCAATGCGCAGAATAAAGGCACTGACTTGAAACTTTGTGCCAGTCTAGCTTCATAATTCCTCTGGGGTAAATTCTAAGGCTGGATCCAGTGGACTGAGTCAGAGTCAGAGGTATACTCAGAATAGCAAGGAAAAAGAAAGTTCACCTTAATTCTATGTTAGATCAAAAATAAAACTGTGAGGGATTTCCACTTCTGGGAAGATGGAGTAGATGTAACTTTTCCCTATCTCTTTTACTAAGTACAACTAAAAACTCCAGACATTTTACATAAAAGTAGACTCTGAAAGGTAGAGAGAAAAAGGCAGACTGGTTAGGTACCCTGGGACATGAGGAATGACATGTTGATGAGTCCCTTGGATATTCTTTTTGCCTCATGTATCCTAGACTTGGGAGGTGAAGAAGCTGGTAACCTGGAAATGCCAATGGATGCAGATAAAAGCCTGTTCTCTCTAGCCAAAGGACAAGGAAAGAGGTAGTCTAGTATGACAGAAACCTTGTTAAAGTGATGACACCAGCAGACTGTGATGTTATGTATGTGTGTGTTAATACATACACAAACATACATATATATATACTACCTAGAGCAACCATTAAAAATGCTATACAAAGAAATACATTCAAAAACACTATAAAAACTAATCAAACTAACAACAAAAACATACTAGAGGTTCATAAAAATAGAATTCTAAAAAAAGTTCAAGCAGCCCATAGGAAGGCAAGAAAAATAAAACTGAAAAACAAAAAATGAAATGGCAGGCTAAGTCCCAACATATCAATAATAACATGAACTATAAAGGGCTTTAGTATACTAATTACAAGAGAGGTTGGCATAGTGGGTTAGAAAATAACCCAATTATATGCTATCTAAAAGAAACCCACTTCAAATATGAAAATACAGGCTGGTAAAAAGTATATGGATGGAGTAAGAACTATCATGCAAACATTTATCAAAGGAAAACCAGAGTAGCTCCATTAATATTGAGTAGACCCAAGCAAAGAAAATTACCAGAGCATAGAGAGGCATCATATAATGATAAAAGGGTTAATTCATCAAGAAGACACAGCAATCCTAATCAATCATGTGTGAACCAAACCACAGAGATGCCAAGATAACAGAATTTAAAGGAGAAATAGGCAAACACAATACTTATAGTTGGAGACTTCAATACCCCTCTCTCAACAACTGAGAGAACTAGACAGGAAATCAGTATACAGAGGAACTCAACACCACCATCCATGTTCATGATTTGGAAGACTCAAGACAGTAAAGATGTAAATTCTCCCCAAACTGATGTATGGGTTTAATGCAATTCATTTCAAAATCCCAGCAAGACTTTTTGTAGATACAGACAAGATCATTCTAAACTTGTATGGAAAAGCAGAGGAAGAATAGCTAAAACAATTTTGGAAAAAGATAAAGTGGGAAAAATCAGTCTTTGTCCTTTTAAGCCTTTTTATACAGCTACAGTAATCTAAATTGTGTAATATTGGTGGAAGGATAGACATATACACCAACAGAACAGAATACATGATCCAGAAACAGACCCATACTAAATGCAAAGGAAAGATAACCTTTTGAGCAAATGGTGCTGAAGCAATTGGACATCCATAATGAAAAAATGAACCTCTATCTTACACCTTATACAAAAAATTAAATCAAAATGGATCATGGACTTAAACATAAAATGTAAACTATACAGTTTTAGAAAAAAATCTAGGAGAAAAATCCTCATGATATAGAGCTAGGCAAAGGCTTGACACCTCAAACACCATCCATAAATAGAAAAAATTGATAAACTGGTTCATCAAAATTAAAAATGCTTGTTCTGTAAAAGGCCCTGTTAAAAAGTTGAAAAGACAAGTTATCAATGGGGAGAAAGTATTTCAAACTAGGTATTCAACAAAGAACTAATATCTAGGACATATGAAGAACTCTCCAAACTCAACAGTTAAAAAAAGCAAACAAACAGAACATGAACACAGGCCTTCCACTGCAGAAAACACACAGATGATAAATTAGCACATGGAAAGGTGTGCAACACTGTTAGCCAGTGAGGAAATGCAAATTATAACCCAATGAGATATCATGACACACCTATCAGAATGGCTAAAATAAAAATACAGCTTTATACCAAATGCTGGTGAGGATGTGGAGAAACTGAGTCACTCATGTACTGATATTGGGAATTTAAAATGGTGCAGCCACTTTGGAAAACAATTTGGAAGTTTCTTATAAAACTAAACATGCAAGTAATACATGAGTTTCTGGGCATATATCCCAGAGAAATGAAGACTGTTCACATTAAACTTGTACATAAATGGTTACCTACTTAGGTTTATTCATAGTGGCCAAAATCTGGAAACAATCTAGGTGTCCTTCAAAATGTTAATAGCTAAACTGTGGTATATCCAAACTATGGAATATCAATCGGTAATAAAAAGAAACCAACTATTGATATCACAATAACCTGGACTGATCACCACAGTAAGACACAAAAGGTTATGTACTGTGTGATTCCACTTACATAACATTCCTGAAAAGAGCAAATTATAAAAACCGAGAACAGATCAGTGGTGGCCCTAGGCTAAGCAAGGCGTGAGATCAGAAGAGAAGTAGGTATGGCTATTACAGGGCAACACAATAGATCCTTATGGTGATGGAAATGTTGTCTATCTTGACTGTATCAATGTCAACATCCTGGTTGTGATAGTTGTGATGTCATATAT